CATGGAAGGATGAGGGGATGTTTGGGATGGACTAGCCCATACTTGAATCTCAGAATTCCCACTTAACCCACTTACCTCTCAACTTCCTCTTATAGCTTTCTTCAAATGACTTTATCTCCTCCCTCTGCCCGCTACTTTCTGATGCTGCTTTGACCTCTTTCCTTTGCATTAGGAACAAGCTGTGTGATTTGTGGATTGTCAGTTCATAAATACAGATATTCAAGGAATACTTTTATTTTTTTGAAATCAATTTACAGTGTCATTATTTCATTGAATGGGTGGGAAATTACAAAACATCACTGGAATGCACACTGTGTGAGAGGAGGAAACTTGTCTGTTTGTTCATTACTTTCTCTCTAATTTTTGTGAATTATGTGTCCTCAAAAAGATATGTTGGAATCTTAACCACTAGTGCCTCAGAATGCGATCTTCTTTAGAGGTAGGGTCTCTACAGTGATAAAGTTAAAATGAGGTCATTAGGATGGGCCCTAATCCAGTGTGACTGGTGTCCCTATAAAAAGGGGAAATTTGGACACCACATGCACACAAGGAGAACACCATGTGAAGATGAAGGCAGAGATCAAGGTGATGCTTCTTGCCAAGGAATGCTAAAGATTGCCAGAAAACCACCAGAAGCTAGGGGAAAGGCCTGGAACAGATTCTTCCTCACAGCCCTTGGAAGGAACCAACCCTGCCAACACCCTGATTGGATTCTAGGCTTCAGAAATGTGAGGCAATAAATTTCTGTTGTTAAGCCACCCAGTTAGTGGCACTTTATTTACAGCAGCGATAGCAAACTAATATACTAGTGATCGGCACGCTGTCTGGCCATAGTGCTTAATAAATAAGAACTGAATGAATTAATAAACTGATTCACCCTCCCATGGGAGGCCTTTGTGGTGCCTAGAAATTGGGATTAAGTAACTGTGTTCTAGTCATCATAATCACTGCATATTTCTTTGTGATCCAAACCTTGAAGATAGAAAATTCTCTTCTTTGGTGCCCTGTGTGAGACAGAGTAATCTGTGCTGGGGCAGGGACCTCAGAAGTCTGGGACTCAGCTTTTTACCTTGTAAAAATCCTTGAAATACGAAATTATGAAGAGCCTAAGGTGTGAGTTTGAACCCAGAGGAGGGAAAACAGAAATGAAAAAACACAGATGAATATTTCAAAAAATGTCTTTCCACGATGGACAGAAATTGCTCTATTTTTCACACATAAGGTTTGGGAGCAGATATTTTCCCTCTGTGGGTCAATACACACAAATCGATTTGTATTCAGCATGTCTTTTTATTCTGATGCTTTGACATCTGGGGCCTTGCTGACCTGGGAAGACTGAAGATTGCCCTTCCCAGGGATAGCCAGTTCTTAAGGATAGTAAATGACTTACCTGTGAGCACTCCTTTCAAACACAGACCCACCAATCCAGAGGCCAAGCCCCAACCACCTCCTTTACTGGGCTCTTGTGCTCTGCATCACTGTCCCCCCACTCTAATCACCCCAGGGCCAGGTGCCACATGACTAGAGACAGCTCCTAGACCCCAGAGCCTGCTGAAATTATCCAATCCTAAGCCTCCTTACCCTGCCTCATCCATTTTTCCCAACGGTTTCCCGCTCACTCCTTCTGCCTTCTGACTGACCCTCGTGCTTCCCCATTGTGGCCCTGTATGGCATGGCATGGCATGCCCCTCCTCTTGGGAATTGTCAGTAACAAACTGTCTTTTCAATGGTAAACATCTCCTGATCTGTTGGTCTCATCGTACCTGAATAATGGATGATAAATAAATAAATAATAAAATAATAAAATCTACATTTTAAAACCCAAGTGTCTGTAAAAGCCAAGTTCTAAATGCACGTATAACTAACATCATTGATATAGATCCAATTAGGAACCCTGATTGGGCCTCATGTCATTGATCTGTGTTACTGATGAGGTTATGATGAGGTTCTTCAAATGAACAGCGCTTGTCTTTATGAGCAGATTACATGGTGAGAAATGTTTGACTGAGAATTTTTAGTGTATGACAAAGAAGGCTGAGAGTGAGGAGTTAAACATGTATCTATTTTTTATTTAAGGTATCTCTATGACAAAGATAGGTTTGGACACATGCTTGCTCTGCTTAGTCTCAATGAGCAGAACTAGCTATAATCGGGGGTAAAAGATATGAGAAGGAAGATTTTGTCTCACTATTCAGAAATTAGTTAAACAATTAACTTTGTTTAAAAAAACAGGACGGGCTATGACGGGTGATTATGAGTTCAAGAGTAGAGTTAAATAGAGAACAGGTGACCATCTGCAGAACATCCTGTAAATTTTTTTGTAGGTAGTGTAACAGTTGTAGTAGAGTTTATCTTTTATAGTTATTTGTATGATGTGCCTGTCCTCTTGTATATCCATCTTTCTCTGACCTAGACTACAGAATCCATATGGGCAGAGTCTGTATCTGCCATATTTCACTCTTGTATTCTCAGTGAACAGTGCCTGGCATATAGTATCAGAAATAAATATTTATTGGATAAATGTTTGTTGCAGTAACTGATGGGTAATCAAATTAGAGACTTGCTTGGACTCCTTTCACATTTGTGTCAGGACTGCTAAGTGTTTCCCAAACCCATTTCCTTTTCCCTGGGCACACAAGTAGACTACATTTCCCATAACCTTTGCTGTTATGTGGTGCCATAGAATTAATTCTGATTGGTGGAATGTGGTAGGCCTCGCTCATGCAAACCTACTCTGCAATTCTGCATGCTCTCTCTTGCTTCCCTCATCTTCTGGCCACATGCAAAGTATCCAGTGACTAAGATAACATGTAATAAGACATTTGGCCCAGTGTTTTGACTGTTGCACTGGGAACACATGATCACAGCTGTAATGGTTTCCATCTCTTAAAAAGTAGGAACTTCTCTAAAATTTCTTGCTTGTGCAGTGATATAGCTCAAGAGGTAATCAGTTCTCCAGGTTCTCTTCTTTTTGACTGAGACTTTATGATTTGATCAAACTAGACTGGGGGATTTGAGAGGGACATGCCAAGACCAGGCTTATATGTCCAATTTGTTTTACAAATTAGGCTCCCTGGTCTCTATGTTTTTCATTTCTGCCCAGCTGAGTCTTCTGTGAGAACCTGGGAAGAAATGTGTAACCTCTAAGAGCCACTCAGATTCCCTCTCATATTGCTTTTGGTTAAATCTTTAGAGAAAGGAAGAGAAAGAGCATTCTTCTACTGCCCTTTGCCAATTGGCTGCCATTTCCCCTCTCATTGCTTATGGTAAAAAAGCATGTCTGTATCTGGTGCCTCTGCTGGAGGGTGATTTGCTCAAGGGCAAAACCAATAAAATGACAGCAAATAGATAGTTGGGCAGCTCAAATTACAAAAGGAGAATGGACCCCAGTACATGTGGCTGACACATTTATTGAATGCTTACACTATGCCATGCCCTGCTCCAGGAACTTGGGAAATTTAAAGGTCTCTGAGACACAGTTGTCAAGAATGTTACAGTCTCTTAGAATAATATTTATTCAACCAGTTAAGCTTAGCAAGTTGGATTTCAGAAAACAGTGAGAGAAATCTTTTATAGCATGGTGGCCTGGTAATCTGAGATACCCCCTACCAAGATGGCATTAGACGGTTTGCTTCACTTCTGCTTCTTCTCTAATTGGGTCTAGGAGCTGCTGCCACTTAGAGTATGGGGCCAAACCCTGGCTACTCCTTTGATAACTGAAATGCCCCCTGTACACTAGCTTGGTGTAAGTATGGGAACATGTTACCGGTTCTTATTCTCAAAGGAGAGACTCTATGAACGGAACAAAGCTTTGTGCACAAAAAGGGCTTAATTCATAATTTTTGGTAATGTTATCAAAGGTTAATAATTATTATCTTATCTGGTCCAATCTGAATTTTACAGTGGTAAGTTTCATCTTGTGTTTCAGTGCTGCTTAGGTCTATGTTTCTGAAAAAACTTTAGATGATTTTACCATAAAGAGTTCTGTGATCAATTGTTGGTGACAATTGATGTGAGCCCGGGATAGGTTCTGATAATATATTTGCTGTCTCTAACTAGTCACTTGAAGACCTGATTAGAAACCGAGGGACATAAATGGTGCTCTCACAGAAACATCAGTGCAGTTCTCTGTGTCTGTCTCCTGAACAGGGTGACATTTCTGTCCCCTGAACAGGGATCTGGAAATCTTGGGTAGAGCCGTTGCTTGAAACATACTGCAAGGGTTTCCACTGGTTCCAAAGACTGACGTTGGGAGAAACTTTCCAGAAGACTTTCTAAGGCTCGTCCTGTGGTACGGGCCAATGCTGCTAGTTTTAAAATCTGTTAGATCTTGCTTTAAACTACCATTTGTGGAGCATTTCGGCTCTAGGGACCCCAACCTGCCACAATGTCCAACCACCTGAAAAATTGCCAGCCTCTCTTAGAACTGCCTTTTTCAACATCGTTGTGATTCTGTGATTACCCACAGTTGCTTCCTACTGTAGCTTCAAATAAGACTGAGAGCATTCATATGTTAGTGAACATTGATTGGTGATGCTGTGTTAAGAAAAAAATCAGATGTAGAGACTTGAATTATTATCTAAGAGCTTTCATCAGATGCAAGGATTGTCACATCTATTTCAAACCTGCTGTAACTTATCTCAACAAAGTGTTTGCAGAGGAGTTGCTTATGGCTCTGCTAGCTGGGGCTTCCTTTTATGAAAGTTCTAGAAAGGGAGAGCTATTATCGTTGAAAGATGCTGCTCTCATTTTAATTGCAACATGGTAAGCTATTTGGCTAGAATCAAGTCTGAGTCTTTTCTCAATGAGAATTTCTAACCCAGGCCAAGTCCATGAGGACACAAGAATTTCCAAAAAAACCTACCCATTATTTACTGGAAAAAGGGCAACTCTGTAGGTAATAACCTATTAGATAATGTTTTCAAAGTCAAATCTGTCTTTTTCATCCCATCCTTGTTCCCTGTAGTGGGGGAAAGAAATGATTAGGCAAGACTTTTTTCTTTTTCTTCTTTTAATTTTGTTCAGCATTAAAGGAGGGAACTTCATAAACATTGATTGTCATTTACAGAAAACATTCAGAAATCATGTGTGCATTATCAGGGAATGCTAACAGTATTCAACTAATAATTTACAGGACATAAAATAAGGACAAAAACCTATTACATTCTAAAGTAATATAAAACTCTTTTTTTAATTGTTAGGGATCGCTGTTTTATTCTAGTATATTTATAATAAAAAAACTCAATGCTTACTTCCTAAATGACTCAGGCTGCAGTTTTACTCATGTACACAGAAATTAGGGCTTATATGTTAAACAAGGGGAGAGAGATCAGAAAATTGTAGATTTTCAAACTATGTATGTCACTGGGTTTATTTGTAGTTTGCCTTTTGCGTCTATAGGCCAATAATAATAATACATGGCAATAATGTAATTAAGCTCCAGGAAAATCAATGGTGATTATAGGAGGCATTGTTTTTTTAAAAAAGTATAATTATTATGCTTTTTAGAGTGAATATTTTTATTTTACATACGTTTGGCAATGCAACTTTGGTGTATTGCCAACGATGGTGTGCATGCTAATAAGAGATGCCGACTGCACCCTCACCCGCTGCTCCAAGGTGCAGTCGTGGTTGGTATACAGCCAAGCCCCACCTGGTTTCAATGCTGGAGGACTTAGCATCGCTCTTCACTCTACCTGTGTAGGCTGGAGCTAAGGTAAAAACATTAAATCTCTGAACGCTGGAAGTATACGAAAATCATTTATCTCAATCCTAAAAGCAAGGAAGCATTGTCAGGGATTTAAAAAATATTGGAAAGTCTCATTTAAATCTAAATATCTTTTTTTTATTATAAATTGATCATCATAAAATACTAGCCTTTTAAAGTCATATTTGGGATGCAGGAAAAGCATCAGGTTCATTGGACTTGCTCCTGCCTGTGGTGTTACAGCTCGAGACACCTTGGATTTTCTTTCCTCTAGTCTCTCCCCAACCCTCCCCCAGGTTCTTTACAACATTTATTTGGTGAAGGTCAGTTATGGCTTCAGCGAGTGAGAGGTCTGACCTCAGGTTACTAATAAGAAATAAACATGTACAAAAATATTTTGTTCATCAGAAAGCAGAGTTTGTTTTCCTTAAGCTATTCCACGCAGAAAGGATTTGGACAAAGCCATTTGCTATAAGGAAAGATGACTTAGCCAACATTTTTTTTTTTTTTAATTTTCCCTTTTCATATTGTCTAGTTCAGATAAAATTTGCAGGTCTTAGGCCAATCTTCAATACAAATTCTTTGGAGCAGATTTAATTGACAGCCCTGTCCCTTTCTCAGCTGTGTTACGAAAAGAAGCGTATACTGAACACCAATGACCCGTCAAGATGCTTCAGCTGTTAGAACCAGTTTCTGAGAAGCACATGACACGCAGAAAGGAAGCAAGTACGTATTTGTCCTTTGTTGGTTTTCCCCCTCTAAAAAAATTGTTACAAAGTCTTACGCTTAAACAGAGACATAGAAAAATCAGTGTATTCACTGTCTCCAGTTATTTACAGCAAAAATTACAGAGACAGCATACATCGTATTAGACCTTCCACCAGCATATATTAAAAGTACATTTGAAAAAATATTTTTATTTTTCCTCTACATTTCTACAATACATACTCAGTTTTCTGTGGGTGTAGTTTTCATTCTTGTATGTGTGTTAATCAGATGAAGCAGGCGGTGCTGTGCTTGGATGTGGGCTCTGTAGCTTTTCAGACATACCTAACGTGTGTCTGCGTGTGGTGATGAGGGAGGCATGCAAACGCTCTCCCTCAGCCGCCGCCAGGAGAGTACGGTTTAATATAAGGATCACGCCGCCCAGCTGGGGTGCACGTACCCTGCGCTTGCCTCCACTGAGTTTATTCAATTCCAGTCACCTTGTGCTTTATTTTTGGCCATAAGAACAATCACTGAGCTGCTTTTTCTGATCCACTGGAGGTCGTGCTTACAGTCATTCAGGAGGCAAATATTTCTATGGCCAATTCACATCGGAGGAATTTCAGCAGCTTACGGAAAAAGTGCACACACAGACCAGCCCCATCTGCTGCATAGGAATTCACGGTCCCGCACTTCAGAACAATGGGGGACTACCTTACCATGACTCTAGAATTAATTCTTCAGATACAACTGAGGGAAAAGAAACACTTGTCACAGATATTGAAGCCACATATTGAAAGAAACACAATGAGACTCAAAAGCATAAAGATTGTGCATTTGACTTTCAGAAAAAAAGTGGCAAGAAATCAAGCCACCTGGCTCTAGGAAGCTAGCAGTTTGGGCAAGACAAATAGAAGGGTCTTTTGTAAGCCATCATCACATCGAATCGTTTGCATCTTTAGACTGTTTGCTATTTTTTCAACTGAATTCTTACTATAGTCTCTAGTAGCGACAGTCAGATATGGAAACCAAATTGACTATCAGAGGGGGAAGATTTCTCCCTTCTCCCCCTTCCACTCGAACACACCCAGAGTTGTGTCTGGACAGACTTGCTCCAGCACAACCGGCCCCTAGATTCAATTTTGCTTTAAGCCAGAGGTTGCAAACTGTGGGCCCTCTTCTGCTCAGAGGTGTATTTGTTTGTTCTGCACTAAGCTCTGAATCAACTGACATCACTTACAACTCGAGAGATTTTATAAGATTCAGAAGTTTTAGCAACACATCAGCTTTAGCTGACTAGCGGATGTCCCTCAGATGGGGCATCTCTTTGCCAGCTTGCCACTGGATTGCTTCACTCACTTGCATCCACTCCCTGGCCCTTTCAGGCTTTTGAATTTTTAACCTCTGCTTTAAGTGAACATGTACCTCTGGTCCTGCGACACCCCACCCCCCTGCAATGGTTGTCAACTCCTGTCTAAAGACTCGCATGGTTTCCCATATTAGGTTGCTGCTTGCACTAGCAGTTGGAAACAGAAAATCAAATACCACTTCGTCTAAAGCAGATGGTGGGCTTTTTCCTCTTCTTTATACAGCGGACTGTGTGCAAAGGTTCACTACACATGAACATTTTAAAGTTATTGCTGTTCTATTGAATGGTGCTTCTGTCAGGGCACAGATGCCTTGCCTGAATTTCCTGCCAATCATAGTAACTTCATTGGAAAAGTTAATAGAGAAAAAAGAGTCAGGAAAAAGTTACTTCTTATAATTTTCAATAGCAGTAGAATTTTTCCTTGCTTCTATAATAAATGGAAACAAAGAACATGAAACAAAACCCATATCATTTGCATCTGATTGACGTTTTTGAAAAAAGCTGGTTAAGTTTTAGGTTATGCTTGGGACACAAGAATTGCTTTTGCATTCAAGCCTGATACACATGGGACTGCAGAGAGTGAGCGTGAGTTGACTATCCATGTGCATGGTGTTCTACAAAGAGTTTAGCTTGACTGTTGTGAAGTTACATGTTCAACAAGGCAGCTGAGATAGGAAGTGTACTGATGTCTCCCTGGATCCTCTTGTTAATATCCAGAGTTCACTATGATTTAGGGTGTCTCAGATTCTGTCAAAGAAGTCTAATTACCAAAGAGACCACTATATTCTCTGTTTTTACCTACTTAGTGGTCCTTTAGTGCAGAGCCCTGAATACAATATTAAAATAAGTGAAATCCAGAAAGCTATGTTTGTAGAGTACATCTCCACCCTCAGCTTTCAGTCTTTGGGGATAAAAGAACCTCAGAAAAAGTGACACAAAGGTGACCGAGTCATGGACAGTAGGGGTATAGGTGGGATATTAAGCCAGATTTGGAATCCCTTATCCTCCTATATTCCCTCCAAAATTTGCCTTTCCTTTTACAGACCGCAAATCCATTGGAGTTTGAATTCATACAGCTTTACCTCCCTTGTCAGGTTCATCTAGTAGTGCCACTTAGATTTCTGTATTTTCCTTGCTCAGCACTTGAACAGGAAGCTTGGGTTTGCTGGGAGATACATAGCCCTATAAACCGGGTAGCTGGATTATTTGGCTCCTAGCAGATTTTAGAAAATGAGACTAAAGTTGTCCTTACTCATGTGCAACTTTTCAGCAAGTCCAAACAGTTCACAACATGAAGTTACAGCTCGTTGGTCTGAAAGCCTTGTCAGAGAGGTTCTTTCAGCGGCATATTTAATTTATGCCATTTACATTTTGTCGTCATTTTCCTGTTTTTTCTCCCTCCTTCTTGATGTACCTTTTTTTTTTTTAATGCAACATCCCTGAGTGGATCCAGTGCAACATCTGCATCAAGCAGTGATTGTCATTTACGAAGCGTGACTTGAAAAGTACAGATCGTGGGTGCTTTCTTCCAGTGCACGCTTTACCATGAATGTGTTGTGAATATCTGTGAGTCTTCATGGGGAGGGGACAAGATTACACGTGATAAAGAAAGTTCTTACCAAAATTTCAAAATACCTCGAGATGTAGTCACAGGAGATGTTCAAAGGGCAGCTTTTAAAGGTGCTTTGTTGCCATTGAAAATATGACTCGGTTCTCTTTTAATGGACAGATTTGGCAGCTCTGGCGACAAATTGGAAATCTCTTTTCTCAATTGAAGTGGGCTGTGTGCTGGTTTTCACTGTTTTGTTCTGTTCAGTTGCTAGCTGTTTCCTGTCCCCTAGCTTCAAAAGGTTCATGCGGTCCCAATGAAATGTTTGCACTAGTGGAAATGACACAAATTCAAATCCAGTACCGCCTGGGGCAAATGTGGGGGACAATCTTTTTCCTACATCACCCATGGGACAAGGGAGGAAAAAATTCTCAGCCACTTCATCAATTGAGCCAATTTAAATCCTCTAAGGTAAATTGGAGGAAACAAATGATTCCCTTTGCAACTGAGCAGGAATTAGAGGCTGACAATGGAAAACACTAGGCCAACAGAACAATGAAAACAAAGTTTGACATAAGTTCAAAGCTCAAAGGGAAACACCAAGTAGACACATTAAGCATCGCCTATCACAAGCCAATCATAAAACATACATTGCATTTGGAAACGGCTTGGTTTAATTGAGTGCCTTCCATTACCCTGTTTTCCTAGCAATCAGTAAAGTAATCTTTCCATTAGAAGGAAATATGACTCTTGGAATTAATTCTTTATACAAAGAGCTAGCAGGAGTGACATTTACACCAAAAAGAATTGAGTCCCTGTAGCAGCATAATAAGCAGTCTACAGCTGTCTTCTTAGACACTGAAGGTAATTTGGTTCAATGTAGTTAAATTAATTGAATATAACAGTAGTTGAGAAAGAGATTCATTATTTTAAAGCCTTTTTGTTTTTCCCCATCGGTTTGGAATGCATCAATCATGAGGTGGGAAAAGGGTCTGTTTTCTAAAAGAAAAGACTAACACTACCGTTTGATCATCAATGAGGAGTTCTGTGGCATCGTGAGGATGGCTCTCAACCATGCGACTTTAGGAGAGCACAAGAGATTAAAAAGAAATCAAAGTTTCCACTGATGGAAACTTTACAAAGCAGGTGTGTGCACGTGCGTGTTTGTGTGTTTGACAAGGAGACAAGGGCAGGTCTTCATGAGTTGGTGGCTGGGCTACACTTACAGGAGATCATAATTTTCATTGTCTTATGCACAAAACTATCCTCTAAGCTTCCTTTTTAAAAATCTCATTTGGGATCAGACAAGACCCAAGGCAGAAGCCCTCCAGAATGCAGAATAAACTCCTTGGAACTGATGCTTTCCTGGTGATCAATTTGATGGGAGAGCAGGTGGGGACATGAGAACTTGTACTAAGAAGTCTAAATTCTCTAATCCTGATTTCACATCTTGCATTCTGTACTTGTAAAAGTTGCTAAAAAAAATAACCTCAGGCTAGATGGATGATGCAATTTCAAATTGCATAGGAAATAGTTTTGGCTTTGGGGTGTATTCATTCCATAGAGTAACTCAAATCTTTTTTTCTAATCTGTCACGTTTTTGCTATATTTTTATAATACAGCATTTTGGAGTTCAAAATAATTAGAGGCCCCAGACTAGAAGGACATATAAAGTTCTGCCTCCCCCTTTATTGCTGCTGTTTCTAACAAACTTATTAAAGAAAAGGAATATAAAGAACTACTTCTTTACTTTGTGTATTCTCTTTCTACCTTTTCTTTGCCAAAAAAAAAAATGGTTAGAGAAAATGTTTACATGAGATGACATTGGGACCCTGGGTTCTGATTTACTCTTTTATTCTAATTTTATTAGAAAAAATTGCTGGTGGTCATAATCTACAGACTGTATTTCTCTGTTGAAGACACAATAAGCACCAAAATCAAGTTTCTTTCACAACTTGAAATCCAAAGAAAAATAGTGTTTTATGTGTCCTGGTGAAAAGTAAGAAATATCTGTTGTTCGGTCAAAAAAGTCCTGAACTCCATAATGTTATCTGTGGCCTAATTCTTAAAACAGGAAAATGGCTTCAAGTACTTATTTTTTCCCCCAATATGTACCACCTTGACAAGGCTTTGATGTCATTGATAGAAATAGAGTTTTTATGTAGAGGCCATGCATTATATTTATTCCTTTGTTGACTTATTTCTGAATTGGTACCATCCTGCCATTGACTCTAGGTGAAAACTCTGGCTGGGAAAAGAAAATCCTGATTGTCTAACATAAAGGTAACATTTAACACAGAAGGTAAATAACATAAGAGAGCCTGACTCAACCTCCTTTGCTAGTAGGTATGGTATTTTAAGCCACAGTGCATGTGCATGAATAAGTAATAGTCATATATAATATTCTCAGATATTATATACTTATTACATACATGCACAGTGCTTTCCAAGACAGCTACAAATTTACACATGCATCAACTATCTAAAAACATAGAAATAGGTAAGCCTATTAAGTGGAATTTTCTTAAATTATATTTGAACAATCAACAGGAAAAGTAATCATGTAAGGTACCGCTCTGTTCTCGTATATATCTACAATAAAATTCTATAAACAGCTGTCTCCCAAACATACCTGAATAAAATTAAAAAAAAAAAAGATAACACCCAGTGTCCTATATTTGTATATTTATGGTCATTTCAAAAACAAACAAACAAATAAAAGAGCCCCACTCAGGTGCATATTTACATTCTTCAAACTGTAGCGGTGAAAAATAATTCTATTAAGTGCAGGACATTCCTAATGTTGCAGTAGTGACATTTTTCTTAAGTCTTCATGAACACATTGCTTTTGTCTTAATGGTGATGCATTCCATGACTATGAGACAGTTCTCTCGTCGCCTTCATTTGCAGACGGTGGCACAGTCAGGATTAAAGAGCTCCTTGTATAACGGAGGAAAGAGTGTATTCACTATGTCTGGATGCGATTGCTTAAATACCTGCAGCTTCTCCCCGTGCAAGTTGCAAACTGCCGTGATGGTTGGTATCTTGGCTATTAACTGCAGAATGGAAAGACAGGGAAGGAAACAAAGGGGGAAGCTCATTAGTGCTCTGTCTTCTGAATCAGTGTCCTTCCTGGCCCCAGATGAAGGGAAATGGCTTTGGAAAAAGATGTTCAGAAAGAAAGAGGGCTCACTTTCAGTTTCTCCGTTAGAACAAAACAAAACAAAATGCACTCCCCACCCCCCCCGCGCCATCTTCTAAGGGAAAAAGAAAGAAAGCAGGACGAAGCTTCCTGATTCGTTGTTCTTAAATAAAGTATGCAGGGGAGGTAGTCCAGTTTAACTGTGAGGAGTGGTGCTCTGCAGGCAGGCTGACTGAGCCGGAATCCTGGTTCCAAAATAGCTAAATGGCTGTGTGGCTGTGACATACCTTATGTCTCAGTTTTCTCATTTGTAAAATGGGCTTAGTGATAGTACCTAGTTCATTGGGTTGGTGTGTTTTTGTATAAAAGTGTTAAGAACACCATAGGCATGAAACACAATTGTTAGCTAGTATTATTATTATCTTTCATTTCCCATGTGAATTTTAACAACGTGGATATTAGATTTTTAGTTTTGGAAGTGACAGTATCAGGAAGTTGTAACCTAAACTGTGAGGTGTGATCCACAACTACCTGGACTGCTTTCCTGTCAAGCTCCCTAGCCCGCCTGTACGTCTCTCTGATCCTTTTCCACTGCAATGCCTAAAATGAAACCTGTATTTAATCAAGAGAGAATTTGGGAGGTCACTGGCACTTAGCTTCCTTAGGGAGGTGTTTTAAAAACTAGTGGAAGAATATCCACTTATAATTGCTACGTTTTCGTATATATGTATCATGTGGAATGTAATTTTTGAGTTCAAATACCCAAAAGACAGTGTTTCACAATAATTTAAAATGTCCACAGTTTGCTAAATGCTACATAGGTCTTAGGAGGTGAACAATTCTAACTTTTAACATACATATAATTTAGGAACACTTAGAATCTATCATTTAGTGTCAAAATCAGCTTAAAAACAATTGCCACTGTAATCAAATTACTGTGGGAATAAGCTATGTTCTTGTATAGAGAGTACTTTTATGAAAGATAAGCTTGATAGTTCCTATAGCTGACCAAAGAAACACTTGAAAGAGATGATAAAATAAAATTAAATAAAACCCATCTGATCACCAGTTAGGCTCACCATGCTCCCTGACCTATTCAATAATAAGAATCCATTTCAGCCTTTGAAGTAAAAGAGGAAATAGATAATTAGTTACTTTGTGGCTTTTCAAGATCAGAAATTTCCACTTTCATTAACTTTCCTTTTAACAACTAATAACTCTATAACCATACTATGAACAATCTAAAAATAGCATCAGGATTAGAGTTGTTGACATATTCATTAAAAGATCTAGAACACATAAAGAAGTTTGGGGTTCAGACTTTCCAATTTAACCATTTCCATTGCTATTTGACGATAGGGATAGAAATGAGAAATGTGGAAATCTTTGTCTATAGAATGGATGTTAAATTTTAGAAGAGAATCAAAACTTTCTCTCCAACATTATGAGGTACTCAAACTTGTAGCAGGCACTCCGCTAGACACCAGCATGCACAAAACAGTATGGTTCTTGCTTATAATCCACTTGCGAAGAGAGATGTGAATGAGGTTACCACACAGTCAAAAGCAGACTGAGACACTGTGGTGAGGGCTATGGAGGAACGGTGCTAGGAGAAGTGGTAGATAATAGAACATTCTGATTTCTTCTGGCAGGCCAGGGAAGGCTTCCCTAAGAAAGTGCCATTTCAGCTGAGCTCAGAAGGAAGAGAGAGAGCCAGCTAGATGCTGGGGCAGGGGGTACATAATATGCCCCAGGATGATATGGAAAAATGCTGTGGAGCTTGGGGCACTGGAAGAACAGAGGGAAGTTCACTGTCTCTGGAGCAGTGGGTGAGCATGTTCGAGGGTTAAACTGGAGAGGTGGGCATTGCCAGATTATGCAAGGTCTCATAGTCTACATTAAGGTCTTTGGAAGGGTTTTAAGCAAAAAGAAAGATGATGAGAATCCCATTCTGAAAGATTCTCTTTGGGTCCAGGGTGGAAAACTGTGCCTTTTCTATGTTTTCATAGGTAAAGAGTGTACAAGTGTCCACTTAACTAGAGTCCCTTGGGAAATAATTCAAGCTCTTTTCCCAGCTGGTTCATACAGAAGGAGACTACAACAATTTTGGAACACTCCTCGCACGTTACAATTCTCCCTGAAATAGCTATTGAATGCAGAGAGGCTTTGAAAGCTTTCAATAATCATCTGCAGTTGAATTCATGATGTGCGGAGCTCCTGAAACTTCCAGAGGCAACTCTGTAATGACTGTCAATCTTTACTATGCATAGGTATCACTGGGGTGCTTCCTAAAAATGCAGATTACTGGGATTTACCCCTAGGGATTCTGTTTCAGTAAATCTGGGTGGAGCTCAGACTCCATGTTTCAAATAAATATCCCCTGTGGATACTGATGTAGTGGGTCCATGGAATAGACTTTGAGAAACAGTGTTTCAGGGGCTCACATCTTATAAATTTATAACTGGTTTTCAAAATTGAAAAGAAAATTCTGTATTGTATTTGAAATAGTTCTAGGAGCTGAGTGGAAAGTTAGCTCCTTTTCAGGAGTCAGAGAAGGAAGTTATCATATCTAAAGAGGGAAGGTTCCTTTTGGTTAGATCTATTAGTTTGGTGAGGGACAAGCAATGAACTTCCTGAGTTCGCTATGACACACAAATATGAAATAGAGAGGATTAGTCTATAAAAATAAAATAAAATTTTATTGTATTTTATATTTAAATTTTTAAACCCAAGATAAAAATTTGGGTTTTAAAGCCTGACTGCCTGGGTTTGAATCCTGGACCTGCTATGTACAGCCAGGTCATCTTGGGTAAGTCACTTAACCTTTCAGCTTCCTTATCTGTCAGATGGCAATTATAACAATCCCTACCTTTGGAGGGTTAAATGTATCTACACAAACTGTCTATAGCTACGCCTGGCACACAGTGGTGATACACGTGTTAGGTGTCATGCTTCTGTTCCCACAAAATGCTTACTTCAAGGAGAGAAATAGTCGAGGCCATGCTTCTTCAGCCAAATGACATGGAGGGCAAGAACCCAGCTTAGCCCTTAACCAAGCACCGAAAACCAAGTCTCTGTATATCATGTGTTAACGTGTAGGGAAATCAGCCATTTACTTTTATTGGAATGAGAAAGCAACGTCGTATTGATTTTCACTTTCTTGTAGCAACTTTCTTAAAGTAAGTTGCTCATTTAATAAACTGTGATTCATAAAGTAGAAACCTATGTACTACAATTCTTAAAGCATTTTTCTGCTCTTTTAGTGAAGGTGTGGTGTGAAAAATTAATTGTATAAGAGGATGACCCTTCTTTGTTGCTTATTTGCATTGGAAATATTTAACCATGTGTTTGGTTTTGGAAAGTGAATATGGACTCTTGCTTCTTTCCTGCCCTAAACTGGGGTTTAAGAAATGTCTGGTTCAGGACCTAGTTCTTCCCTCTTTTATGGAACTTGGATCCCGTTCCTGCTGCTCATCTGTAGAATGGGCTGAATGGTGACAATTCCTTTTTGTTAAAGAGCACTGGGACCATTTGAGCAAAGAACACCGAGAAAGGCAAAGAGCTTCTGTGCTCTCAGAAAGGGCTGATTTAAAGGCGTCCAATCAGCTGTGGAAATAGATGTGCTGATGGGGGCATCCATCACTCTGGAGGCATGATGGGCCAGGAGGCCACAGAGAGGCAGCGGTAGCACTTGTCAGAACCCAGAAGGGCCTGGTGGAGGAAGCAGCAGGCAGTCACTTATTGCTCGTTTATATCATGTACTGCAGCTGGGGGACCCCCATGTCAAAGCGAGCTCAGAGCAGCCTCAGCAGCAGTTAATGGCTCAACAACTTTTAAAACAGCTGGGGAGGTGATCCAGAAGCACTTGGAGATGGAGGGGGTAGTCAATTTTAAATCATCGTGAAATTTCTTCATGTTTAAATAATCCCCATAGCAGGAGTAGACAGAGGGTCTATAAAAAGGCATTTTCACACTCATCTCTCTCTTAAGACAAGCATTTCTTATAAGAAGGAAGTTTTAGCTTATACCTACAGGGGTCTACAAGAAGAAAAAGCTGCTGTGTGAGAAGAGATAATAATCCCATGCTTCTTTCCAGAGGGTGGTTTTATGAGAAAATCCACAATTTTATAACTAGTACGTTTGATGTTGGAAAAATGGAACACGCAGAGGGTAACGCTAGTGATCTTGTTCGTATGGGCTTCCAGGCCATCAAGATGCCCTCCCACCTAAAGCAGGAAGCCAGTAGTGGTTTGCTCAAAGTGGAAGAAACGTTAAAAGCACTGATAAAAACAGGGCATATCAAGTGAGGCTAAATACATCCATTTCACTTCTCTGCTCACTTTTCTTTTTTGGATTTTTGTTTAGCTAAACCTAGACACTTGGATTAGAAATATAATGTCAGATTTGAGGTATCTGCCAGGTCATAAGCTCTCCCCACCCTATCCTTATTCCATCCTTGGCTGTGGTTCTTTCTACCCTGGGCATGGCTGACTAAAGTGGAAGTGGACACTTGATTCAGCTGGGGTTGGAATTTGGAATCAGACTGAGAGACAGAAAGTTATTTTCTAAAAGTAGCAGAAACTACAAGGAACCTAAGAAGCTAAGAGCTAGCCATATTTCACCATGTGGACCAGGGAAGCAGAGTCAATTGGTATTCAGAGAGGGAGAAGAATGAAATAGATACCTAAAGAGAGATAAAAATGTGAGGTGGAGAATTCTGAAGGCTTCCCAATTCCTTGTTCCAGTGCCTTCCTGAATGGCGGCTGAATTTTTGACCTTAGACTCCAAGAGATCTCTCTCCATTATTTTATGCTATTTTTTTCTTTTTGCTTAAGCTAGTGTGAGTTGGTTCCTGTTACTTGTAACCAAAGAGTCCTAACTAATACATTGACTTCCAACTTGATGAGTGAGGAG